TCACTCTTGCTCAGGCTGGTCTCGAACTCCTGAGCTCAAACGATCCTCCCGCCTCGGCCTCCCAGAGTGCTAGGATTACAGGCGTGAGCCACCGCACCCAGCCTTATCTACCTAACACTCTTATGTGGGAGGATCCAAACCAAAGACACACAAAGTTAAAATGGATTGATCAAAATTAGCAGTAAAGAGTGTTATTTCACCAAATTGAATGAATTCAGCCTACATGTGGCTTAACCTACACAGCATTAGACACACTCCAATCTCTCTCAGAAGTTATAACCAAAACTATTCTCTCAATACAGACATTAAAGTTAGCTGGGCCCATCAATCCTTTAGAATTGTAGGACTGACAAGAAAAATGATGAAACAAAAACCTAAGAGTAGTCTCAGGGCTGAACCTTGGCTAAGATATGCTATTTCCTGTACACATCTCTTAATGTATCAAGAAGTGTTATATCCTAGAGATTAGAGAAGGGAGAAGAAATAATAAGAATTATCAAACCTTGCAACCTAGTCCCACTGAACACAACTGTGCTCTGTTATAGGGTGAATAACACAGCAAGAGATAAAATGGCTCTAAAGCAGTCCTTCCCACTGAATGGGTGAAGTAACCTAGTAATAGCTCATTAAAAGCTGATGTAAACTCAATAACCAGCCTCAGTGTTCAGTAAGGACAGCACTCATGGGTGATGGTTTTTGACATCTAATTATCACAACAAGAGTCAGTATCCTCTTGAGATGCAAATTCAGTTAAGATAAAGAAAAACTTCATTCATGATATACTTAGTCTGGCTATCCTCAGAAAGACACCAGGTTTCCCATATTTGTTGAGTTCAAGAAACAGTGCATACCTACACTATACACTGGGTACTTAAAGTGAAGGAATCTCAAGCTTATATAAAAATTATTTTTAAAAAACTTTTCAGTATTGTCCTGTATATGTCTATATCTGTATCTATCTATATATATTAATATATATAAAACACAAATCATATTACTAACTTACCAGTGTTTGAGTTGGTTTTTCAATAGCAGAGACAGATTTGTACTGAACTTACTGACCCAGTCATTCCTACAACCAACATTTTCAAGATAAGTGTCTGGGGCTAAGGATATAGAAATGGTCACGAAACAAGATGAAGTTCACTGGCTCATATACAACTCAAAACTGTAACCCTGACCTCACTGCACTTTTTCCTAAAAATGTGTAACAACAATGATTTACTACTACTATACACCAAAGTGACTACAGTTAATAACAGATTATATACTTGAAAATTGCTAAGACAGTAGATTTTAAGTGTTCTCACCACAAAAAAAGGTGAGGTAATACATATGTTAAATAGCTTGATTTAGCCATTCCACAATATATACATATATCAAAACATGTTGTACACTATAAAAATACGGTGTACAACAATTTTTTACTTATCAATTTTAAAGAAAAACAACAATCATTTACTAAATGTTTCTCCCTTCTTCCTCAATACCCTCTTCCTTTTTCTACCTCACAGTCTGTGGAATTCTCAATCTGAAGTCTACCTATCCTTCAAAACCCAATCTAAATCCCACTTCATCTGTCACAACTTCCCTGACGGCACCAATGCCATAATATCCTCCCTCCTCTCTGAATTCTAGTGCACATATTATCCATCCTCATTCACATTACGCTGTTATATTTTCCATGTTTGTCTTATCTTTCCAAAAATACTGTGAGGTCCTCAAGGGCAGGAACTACATAGTCCTCCATATCACCTCCAGGACATCCAAAAGAAAACCTTGTATGTATTTATAGGAAGCATTTGGTTATATTCAATTGTGTTAGGCTTCAATTTACAAATAAGGCACGACAGATAATAAATAAAACTACTAAGATCAAGAACTTCTCCAGGCATTAACTGAGGCTTAGAAAAACACCTATAATGCTTTTCAAATTATCCCTTTGAAGTGAGGGCTTGAAGTGATAAGAAGAAAAGTTCTAATAAGTTATGGAGATTTAGACTGTTTTCTCACTCTTACAGGCAAAACAGTGAACAGCAACCTAAAGATCAGAAAAGCTGAGGCCACCATGTTCAACAAGACATCACATGCAACAACAACATGTCACTGCTCACGCACACACTGGCTGAATTCCAGAGTCCCTCTCTATGGTGAGAGAATTTTGGAGACTCTGATGTCTGCAGGAAAAAACAAGGCACCTGCTCTTCCCTGCACTGAAATATGGCAAAAAGCACACAAACACACAGCAAAATCAGCAAGTAAAACTAAGTAGCATTTAGATGAAACTATGACTATGAAATTGGGGGTGGGGCAAATAAGAAAGAAAATGACATAAAAGCCTGAAAAAAAACAAAGCTTTAGGGTGAAAAGGCTATAAAATACCCTTTAGAAACTTATTCACTGGACTCCATTTGTGTTTCAAGAAATAAGATATACAGACACACTTTAGAAGGCTTTTCTCCTAGATTGTATCTGAGACACTATAAATACAGAGGTAAATTGTCCTGTCTTAAGACTGAACCTGGACAATTCTAAGGAAAAGAACCATAACTAATTCTATAAAACCAGCTTTTCAAGGATAGGATTACATTCACCCCAGTGGGTCTCCTCGAAGTAGCTATATAACCCAATCCAAAATAGCTTCCGGGTTCAGGGTGCGGGTTCTGGCGCTGGCTAGCATGCAGCAGAAGTGTTTCCTTCAAAACTATAGCACTGCCTCTCTAGGGGCAGACACCCTGGCAGAAAATGGTGAAAACCAATTTTATGTCAGAGGAAGCAGTCCTCAACAGTCCGTCCTGCATCGTTTTTTGTTTTTGTTTTTTTTTAAGCGAAGAAAGAGATAAGAGGAGGGGAGCGGGTAAGGGAGGTGGTACTAAAGACCGTGGCAGCATGACAGCCAAAACAAATGAAGTTGAAACAGTATGTCCTGCTTTCTTCCTAAAGCCTATCACTTCAACAGTGATAGGGAGTGCAGGCAATCGCAAATCACCGCTGTTTTCACTTTCACTAGAACCCTAGAAACCACTGAAGAGCGAACTCTCCGTCTCCGCCTCACAGTTACCTTCCAACCCTCTTTTTCCGTGCTTCCTTCCTTCTCTAGAGACAGCCGAATAGGGACAATCCTCAGCAATCCGCTATTGCTTCACTGAGGATGGGGGAGGCGGAGGATCTGGTGAAAAGTGGAAAAGGAAATAGGGAAGGTGAGAAGCAACAGCGGAAAGAGTATGGGAGGGGGCGTCATCGTGGGAAGCAGACAAGGTGCAAAGAGTCCAAGAAAATTGACGGGGGAGTTGTCAGAGGAGAGCTTGCTAGGGAAGACAAAAAGGAGGGGGGCAGGTAGAGGGGAGAGGAAATGAGGGGCAGGTGGAGCTGTTGAGGAGGAAACACAACTGGGCAGGAGTTACGGAGCCAGGGCAGAGATGCCCAGGGGTTGTTGGGGCCAGCGACAGGAGACGGTGGGCAGCAGGTATTCGCAAGACCGATGTCAGGGGGATCAGGGGTGTGCAGAGAGCTTAAGACCCAGTCCCGAGACATAGGGGCCAGGTATCTACGCAGTGCCCGAGCGCAGAGAACATGAGCTCTTACCGGTAGTTTGGGGTTGACCTCACCCTTGCAAAAGTGACAGAAAAACCGGTGCGCGGCTACAGCAGCGCCCGCGTCGGCCCCGGCCGCCGAAGCCTCCGCCATGTTTGTCTTCTGCTGCGGCTGTCCGAGAGGGCAGCCGGTCCGCTCCTCGCCAGGCCGCTACCGCCCGGCTGCAGTCCCAGCCGCCGCCGCCTCCTCAGTGCGGCCCGCCGCTCCAGAGTCCGCACGGTCACGTGAGTCTGCCGGGGCCAGAGAGGCGGGGGCACGGACGGCGACCCGACGGCCCGCCCCCCAGCGCCAGAGAGGCGCAGGAAGGAAAGTCCGCCTGCCGCGGCGCGACCGCCGGCTCCTCAAACAGCCCCTCGCCAGTCCTCCAGCTTTCTAGCGAGAAGAAAGAAAGAGCGTCCCCGGAAGTCAGCGAAACTCTGGGGTAGAGTGGCACGCGTTTTTCACATTCGTGTCCTGCTGGGTGGCCGTCCTCTTCCGAGAAAGAGCCGTGGGCTCCTCCCTCTGCTCCGGCGGCTAACGGGAGCCACGGAAAGGCGTCGTGGAGAGCTCGAGGGCGTTAGGCTGGGAGCCTCTGGATTGTATTGACCCTGAGGTTAGTGGAAAATGCTGTCTGAGCGAGGCTGCCCTGACTGTGGGCCAAGAGAGACCAATTTGGGAACGGGAACCTGCGTAAAGGGAATGACGAGCTAGGAGCCAAACAAGAGTCTGGAGATGCTTCTGCAAAGACACGTAGATGGGTGGAATAGGTCTATCTTGTGATACTGAGGCTGAGGGACAAAGACTTGGCTTCTAAGGAATTGAGAGAGGTAAATAAACAATGTTTGGTAGCTTGTGATAAGGAAGTGATCGTAATATCAACTACATCTGTTTCTGATTGTGTCTACTTTGTCAAAGAATAGAAGTTTTAGAGTTAAATACTGCCCTGCAAACAGCATAACTTCATCTCCTATTTGAAATAGCCTGTTAAGAAGCTGTCCTTTACCTCCTAACTTCTTTTTCTAAATTGTCATTTCCTTCATGGGCCGGGAATGACACTGCCTGTTCACTCCCACTGGGCTGTGAACAGTGACTATAATTTTTGCAAGCAATGAAGTATAGAATCTAAAGACTGTGACAGACTGCAAAATCATGTACTCTCAATCTATAAAAAAAGTTAGAATCATACGTAATCCCTTAAAGATAAATTTGATATACAGTCTTCTGGTTTTTTTCGTATGCATACATGTTTTTATTTACGTAATTGAACTTTAGTCTACACTTCTCTTTGCAGTTTGCGTCTATCACTTAATACATAATAATTTTCTATGGTAATACATATCCATTTTAAATGCTGGTATAGTATTCCATTGAGTATGCTATAATTTATTGTTAGACATTAGATTGTTTCCAGTATATCAGTAGTATAAAGAGAACTGGTGATTCTTTTTATTATTTCCTTGGAATATAATATCCAAAATGAAATTATTGGGTCAAAGATATGAAAGTTTTTTTTTTTTTTTGATACAGCTTCTTGTTCTGTCACCTCGACTAGAGTACAGTGGCATCATCATAGCTCACTGCAACCTCAAACCCCTGGGCTCAAGTGATCCTCCTGCCTCAGTCTCCTGAGTAGCTGGGACTACAGGCGCACACCACCACAGCTAGCTAATTTTTCTATTTTTTTTAGAGACGGGGTCTCACTGTTGGTCAGGCTGGTCTCGAACTCCTGGCCTCAAGCGATCCTCCCACCTCAGCCTCCTAAAGTGCTAGGATTACAGGCATAAGCAACCATACCTGGTGAAATGCAAGATTTTAAGGTTGTTGATATGTATTATCCAATTGCCCTCTAGAAAGAACACGTGAATTTTTTTTTTTTTTGACATGCTCTGTCACCCAGGCTGTAGTGCAGTGATGTGATCATAGTTCACTGCAGCCTCCAACTCCTGGCCTCAAGCGCTCCTCCTGCCTCAGCCTCCCACAGTGCACAGTTTACAGGCATGAGCCACCTTTCCCAGCCAGAATACGTGAATTTACATTCAGCAGCACTACTCCCAACGCTAAAGAAAAACTTTCCATTATACATTTTTGATTTTTTTTCCCCCCCAGCTCTGAGACTCCCAGTACAATGACTCAAGCAGAAATTAAGCTATGTTCTTTGTTGCTACAAGAGCATTTTGGAGAGATTGTAGAAAAAATTGGAGTCCACTTAATCAGAACTGGCAGCCAGCCACTAAGAGTAATTGCCCATGACACAGGAACGTCGCTAGATCAGGTATCTTTAAATAAATGACATTAATTTGCTTTCTTTCATTTCTTTCATTAATTTCATCTGCCTTTGAATATTGTTGCTCCCCACCCCAGAAAATGGAAAATGGCAAAAGCCTACCCTAGGATGAGAACAGTGTTATTTGGGGGGAAAGAGGATGGGACTTAGGCCCCAAGGTTCTGCTTCTCAGTGTGTTCCTAGTTCATTAATAGCTTCTTAGGCAAATCTTTGCTCTTCTTATGCCGTATCTCATTTATTTAGAGTGAGTCTACTAATCTCAATATTACCTTTAAGGAATGAGAATGATAGAAGGAAAGAAAGTAAATGGTGCTTTGAAAGATAAGGATCAGAGGAATATGTGCATAATAGCAGGGAATCTTCCTGATTTCTTATATTGGTGTGTGATTCTTACTAGCTACTCCAGTGGAGAGAGGGCATAAGCACAGAGATTCTTATCCAGCTATCTCCTGATACTTAGTAAGCTGTTGGACAAAAAATTGCCAGCAAAAATGAGCTATATCTTCAGATCTTTCCTTTCTTTCTTTTGGGTCCTATCTAGGTGAAAAAAGCCCTTTGTGTCCTCATCCAACATAACCTGGTGATTTATCAAGTGCACAAACGTGGTGTGGTGGAGTATGAAGCCCAGTGTAGCCAGGTGTTGCGGATGCTTAGGTATCCCCGATATATCTATACTACCAAAACGCTATACAGTGACACTGGAGAGCTGATTGTTGAGGAGCTGCTGTTGAATGGCAAACTGACAATGTCAGCTGTTGTTAAGAAGGTGGCAGACAGGCTCACAGAGACCATGGAAGGTCAGTACTCTATCACAGCTATTAACAAAAGCATAAATTCACTAGCCACAGGAGTGGACCCTCAGCTATTTTAGACCATCTCACCTGCCTCTTTCCCCCTGTTGTACAGATGGCAAGACCATGGACTATGCTGAGGTATCAAACACATTTGTGCGACTGGCAGACACACACTTTGTACAGCGCTGCCCCTTGGTAGCTACCACTGAGAGTTCAGACCCTGGGCTACCACCACCTGCCCCCACACTTGTCATTAACGAAAAAGACATGTTCCTGGTTCCTAAACTGAGCTTGATAGGTAAGGAATTTTGACCTTTGGAACTGTGCCTTGCCCTAATTGTGGATTCTTCTTTTTATTGTTAAATATATGAATCAGTTGAGCATTTACCAAATATTTCCTATGTGCCAGACAATGTGGTATATAGTAATGAAAAAACCATGGTCTCTGCCTTTATGGGGCTTAACTCTAGTATAGGAGATATACATTAATCAAATAATCATGTAGACATATAACAAACCGATAAGTACAAGGAAGGAGAAGTACGAGGTGTTATGAAAATATATAATGGGGTACTGGATTTATCGGGAGGTTTAGGACATGTATTTCTTTGAGAAAATGACATTTGAATTAAGATTTGAAGCAAAAGTAGAAGCTAACCCATGAGGTAACAGAGGATAAGCATTTTTGGCAAAGGGAATAGTATGTAGTGAGAAAAAAATAGAACATTTGAGGAAGTGAAAGAAGGTCAGTATAGCTAAATAATGGTAAACAAATGAAAGGGAGGCATGCGATAGATAAAGTTGGAGAGACAGGCATGGGTCTGATCTCAGAAGCTAAACAGGGTCGGTCCTAGTTAGTGCTGGATGTGAGAGAGGGAGGGGCTAGATCAAGCAAGACCTTATAGAACATCTGTTCTTTATCCTAAGAGCAAAGGAAAACCACTAAAGGATTTTAAGCCGGGAAGTGACATGGTGTAATTTACATTTCTAAAAGATTTTCTGTCTATAGAAAGGGTGGGAGTTTGAGGCAAAAGTAAATGTAGAGAGACTGGTGAAAACTTATATATAGAAGGGGTAAGGGAGATAGGTATCAAGAATGACATCTATGTGTCTGACTTGCACATGCGGGAGGAAGACGGTACCATTTGCTTTGAAAGGAAGCACTGGAAGAGGACCAGTTCGAGGGAGAAAAATTATGAATTTCCTTTTGAACATGCTGAGTTTCAGGTGACTGCATCATTTACTTGAGCTTTTTATGGTTCCTCAGTTCCTAAGCAACTCTAACCTGGAGGCAGCTATAGATATCTCTGAGATGAAGAGATACCTCATGTTTGGTCATTTCCTGTCATCATATGAGATGTAGCCTAACTGCTCCGTTGTTTTATTTGGCAGGGAAAGGTAAAAGGAGGAGATCATCTGACGAAGATGCTGCTGGGGAACCCAAGGCCAAGAGACCAAAACATACTGCAGATGGCAAGGAGGTAATGGGGCTTTTTGATTAGGAGTCCTCACCCTGAAGCAGGCCAGAAAGAGCACCCAGATAACAAGCCCCAAGAGAGCTTAAATGTTCCTGAGCTAAGAAGCAGATTATATGCTTCATTAAATATTGGCCAGGAATAGACCAGTGAGGAGTGAAGTCCATTGTTGTCTCCCTTCTGAGGCTTAACTTCATTCATTGAACAGAGGTAACACAGCTTATGCAAAAAGAGGCCCAGAAAAAGTTTAAATTGTTCAGTATGGCTGAAACCTATGGACTCCTAGGAGCCAGTGATGAGAAATGAGTCTAAAAAGATATACATAGACCTAAATTCCATTCAAATGCCTTCTTAGTATCCCTATAAAGATGTCTAATAAGCATCTCAAAATTAGTATAGCCAAAACAAAATAATTGATTTCCCCTTCCCAAATGTCTGGTCCCTCATAAATTTCCTCATCTTATTAAAAGACACAACCACCTACGCTGACCACCTAGGACACCGTAGTTTGCTTAGGTTAAAATCCTTGGAACCTCTGATCTCACAGTAAAACCTGTCAGCCCAATTTCAAAAATAAACTCAAATCCAATCATTTCTCATCTTTTCCATTGCTATCCCCCTAGTCCAAGATAGTGTTGTCTCTTGTCAGTACTTTGCCAACTCTCCTTAATGGTCTTCCTACCTGCGTTCTTACCTACTTAGCAGCCAAAATGACTTTCTAAGTTCAAAACAAAATAACATGTCACTGATTGGACTCCTTTAATAGCTTCCCATTGCTCTTAGGAGAAATCCACGCGGTGCACGCCATAGCTTTCAACAGATTCTTCAAGAGAACTGTGACTCAAAAAGGTTTTTTTTTTTTAAATAAAAAAAAAAGGCACTACCTTACGAGAAATGGAGAGAATAACGCAAAAGCAACAAGATTAGATGCAGAAAACCCAGTTACTCTTTTTATAGTGTCTACAATGTTAAAAAAAAAAAAAAAAAGTAAAAACCAGTTAGGAAGCTATTGTAGTAATCCAGTTAAGCCATGATTAGAGCCTGATATAAGATAATGACAGGAGAAATAAACGTAGACATCTGATAAATAATAGATAGAATTCGGTAATGGGATGGTAGATGATGGAGAGCAAAGGGTTAGGGATAATACCCGAGTCTGTAGCTTAAGAAATTGGGTTGGTTATAGTACAGTTACCTGAAAACTTACAAAACAGAACAGAGTGGGGGAACAGGTGAGAGTGTCAAACAGGCAGTTAGGTCTAGCATCTGGAGCTTAATAGAGAGTTCTGGAATTCATAGATTTGGAAAGGCATCAATAGTTGAAGAGCAGATAAAATTACCCAAGTATAGCATGTAGAATAAAAAGAAAGGAGGGCTCTGGACAGAATCCTGAGGAACACCAGTATTTATAGGTAGGATTTGAAAGAGGAATCTGTGGAAACTGAGGAAGGGTAGCCAGGAAGGTTAGAAGTAGTACTAAGAAAAAAGAAATGTCATAAAATCCAAAGAGCCACATAAGGTTTTGTTTTTTTCTTTTTCTGAGACCGAGTCTCACTCTCTTGCCTAGGCTAGAGTGCCATGGTGTCAGCCTAGCTCACAGCAACCTCAAACTCCTGGGCTCAAGCAATCCTCCTGCCTCAGCCTCCTGGGTAGCTGGGACTACAGGCACGTGCCACCATGCCCGACTAATTTTTTCTATTTTTAGTTGTTTGGCTAATTTTTTTTCTATTTATAGTAGAGACAGGGTCTCACTCTTGCTCAGGCTAGTCTCAAACTCCTGAGCTCAAGCAATCCTCCCGCCTCGGCCTCCCAGAGTGCTAGGATTACAGGCACACATAAAGTTTTGAGGAGGAAAAAAAATGTCCAACCATGTCATATGCTTCTAAAAGGTCAAATAAGATCAGAACTGGAAAGTATTCTTTGAATTTAGCAACAGGGAAGTCCTCAAGGACAATGGTGGAATTTCACTGGAATGCCAATGACAATTGACATTTCAGTACAGTCGTAGAAATGGGTTGAGTAAATCTAGAAAGAAATATAGCTGGGATGGTCAACTCTTTGAGAAGCTCGGCTGTGACAGAAAGGAAGAGGAGGGGAGACTTAGGGTTGAAGGAAAATTCTAGACTAGAAGAGACTTAGACAAGGTAAAGACTGATGAGAAGAAGGCAGTAAAGGAGAGGCTGAAGATCTTAGAGGACAGGAGGGAAAATTGAGCTGGATCCTTGACAATGAATGAGAGGGTAAGGTCTAGGATACCAATATGGGCATTAACCTTGAGTAATAGAAGGAACATTTTTCTGCTGTGATAAAAATGAGTGAAAATAGAAATCTAAAAAAAGAAAGAAATGTGATGGGCATGTGTGGACAAAGTTGAATGAGTTCTGGCCTAAGGGCTTCTATTTTCTCTGTGAAATCAAAGGCAAGGTCATCTGCTGCAAGTGAGAAGGGAGGGGTCAGTGGGAGATTTTCAGGTAATGGAGAACAGTTAAAATATGAAGAGAAAGACTGGAAATGAGCTTACAGAACCTGTTTAAAGTTGGGATTTGTTGAGACACTATCCACATGATTGAATGATTTTTCTCCATCCAATTTAGTTGGTAGTATATAAGAAGAAAAATGGTATACAGTTAAATCCGAGCTACTCACTAGAAAACTCTCCACTATATCTAAATATTTCTTTCTAAACCTTTTTTGTTCCTCAGCCCATTCCAGATGATGGGATTTATTGGCAGGCCAACCTTGACAGATTCCACCAACACTTCCGTGACCAAGCCATTGTGAGTGCCGTTGCCAACAGGATGGACCAGGTAACGGCTAAGTGGGTCTGTCAGTGGTCTTCGGGGACACTCATTTGTCAGATATAGATAGTAATGGGCACATAGCCAGAGCTGGGGGCAGCAGGTGATTTCCGAATTACAGTTTACTTTTCAAACGCAGACAAGCAGCGAGATCGTGCGGACCATGCTCCGGATGAGTGAGGTCACCACCCCCTCTTGTGCCCCTTTCACCCAGCCACTGTCTTCCAGTGAGGTGAGTTTAATGTCCTCTGCTGGCTTTCTGCCAGACTCTTCGGGTGCTGTAACAACTACTGTACGTAGAGCCTGGGTTAGGCTTAGGTCTGAGCATTGAAAGAAAAGGGTTTTTGTTGTTTGAGGTGGGGCAAAGATTATCTTCAGTTGGTAAGCACTGAAATGTTTGGTCTCTTAGCATGCAGCTTTTAAAAATCTAAATCATGGCCGGGCGCAGTGGCTCACGCCTGTAATCCTAGCTCTCTGGGAGGCCGAGGCGGGCAGATTGTTTGAGCTCAGGAGTTCGAAACCAGCCTGA